ACAGAACTCAATAATTGCACTGTACTGTACAGTACTGTAGGCCCACTGTAGCCTACTCAGTTGAACTGTACTCAATAATAGCACTGTACTGCAGACCCTACTGTACTGAACCGTACTCAGTAATTGCACTGTACTGTACTGTCGTGTATTGTACGATACTGAACTGTACTGTACTTTAGGCCTACTGTATGTGCTGTGCTGTGCTATGTTGTGCTGTTCTGTGCAGTGTTGTGATGTGATGTAATGTGATGTGATGTGATGTGATGTGTATTGTATTGTATGGTATGGTATTGTATGGTATGGTATGATGGATTTGTATTGTATTGTATTGTATGGGCCTATATCGTATTGAATTACATGTATGTTTAAGGCTAATTTTGATTTTTATTATAGAGTATGTAATAGCATGTTGGCTATAAAATATCATATATCATATAGATAGGTGAGTAAATAAACTAAGCTTAACTTACAGAATGTAGAGCTATCGCCCACTATCTTTAGCAATGGTTAGGGGAGGAGGGGGGGGGGGGCTACACCCCCAAAGTCCCAATTCGGCTCAAAGTTATGGAATTTGAGTTGTAGTTTAGCTTCCCCAGCCTCTCCTACAACTATTTTATCGCATAAGAACCCCCCCCAAAACCGCATTTTTTCCCACTCCGGGCACGATCGTCACCACCATTTCCTCCTAAAGTCAATATGTGAGGCAGCGTGGTGGAATCAGGCTCTCGTCAAAATAATCAAAGTGAAGAAAACTTGCATTTGTCCGCAGGTTTGTGAATTTTTATCAAATTTTTGTTTTTTGGCTCAACACCTTTCATGCCCATTAAAGAACTCATTTCCGTGTGGATTTTTCTTAAAAACGTTGGTTAAAGGCACAAAAAAAATTGTAAATTTTCAGTTACCACGGACTCTGAAGCTAAGGAAATAACTAATCTTTGGCGGCCATTTTCTCACTTATTTTACCTCTGAAAACAGGTAACCCCTACCTCCTTCATTCGCTTGAATTCAAGATAAATGGATTTCTTTTCATCCAAATAAAGACAACTGAACAAGCTTTAAGATGACACCAATAACTCTACATGCCCAAATAATGACGAGAGCCTGATTCCACCACGCTTCCTCACATATATATTTTTCTTTTCTCTTTATCAGCCGTTTTCTCAAAACGCGACTTTTTTCTATACTTTTTCTAATAACTCCATCTTTTTTCGTCCCATTTTCATGAAATTTTCACAGAATGAAGAGAAGATGTAATACAAAAAAAAGACGGTTGAAATTTTTTTTATATAGATCTAGAATATATTTTTGTTGGTGGTGTCTGGAGTGTGGAATTTCACGGATTTTTTGCAAACTTGAATGTTACCTCAGGAAAAAAATTCATAAACTTTTTTCTGGATTTAATTCGTATAGGAAAAAACAAACAAGAGACACTTTTTTTAGAACTAATGTTTGTTAACACGCATTAAAAAAAAAGCAATCAATTTCCATTAGCAATAAGTGCAGTATTCATTACGTAAGACATGTCAACAAAATCCAATATGACAACCGTATCAATGGAAACACAATTTTTTTCTCAAATTTTATCGCCGATTTTAAAACTCCTTACTATGCTTGTTATATTTGTGCAATTTGGTAAAATTTGGTCCAGTAATAAACGAGATTGCCTTCAGGTGTAGCCCCCCGTTAAAAAACCCCTTACTCAAATGTTTTTTATGGTTGTGTAATTCCACCTTTCACCATGTTACGATATGTTCGTTTTGTAAGAAATCAACAAAGAGAATGTGTTAGACGCTCTCTCTCTCTCTCTCTCTCTCTCTCTCTCTCTCTCTCTCTCTCTCTCTCTCTCTCTCTCTCTCTCTCTCTCTTTCTCGTAGGGTAGAGGGTGACTTCCGACACTGTGTGCTATTCCGACAC